TCCAGGGTAAGCAATCCCACTGAGCAGGAGGAAATACTAGCCCTAACAAAGCACCCAAGTCACTGCTTGCGTTTCCTTTCTTAAACTACCACCTGGACAGTCTTTCATATAAGAACGTAAGGAGCAACTACATCCTTTCTAATCAAAATTCTGATTCCAAAGTGAACTCTTATTTGGTATCTTTACAATGTTTTGCTGCTCAGTGTTTAAAAACACAAACTCGCTGATCAAACTAGCTACAGGTTGAAGGCCTACTGACGTAAAACTTGAGATGCAGCACCGTGTTTGGTTTTCAAAAAATTGTTCAATAGCTTTTAAAGTCCTGAAAACAAAGCATAATGAACATACCAAGGGAGGTACTCTTGTGTAACTGTTCACTAGAGGCAGCCTTGCTAAACTGATGATGATGTTCTTGAGGACAGGCGTAAGAAACGCTGGGATACTGCTGTTTCTTCTGTGCCCCAGTGCCAAGACAGTCTGTAAGCATTCCACCATCTCAGCTACCATTTCACAAGCTGCAGTAATGTGTTTAGTTTCTTTGTTGGGAGAAAAAGAAATTCAGTTTTATGAATCTATTCAAGAGACACATAATTTAAAAAGATAGAGAAGAACAAGAAATGCTTAATGAAAGAGTATGTCGACTAAAAAGGTCAAAACTACAATAAGGATGTATACAAAGAAATATTCTACAGTAGTTCAGCTAGTTAAGAGTACTACTACCACCCTCCTCACAACAGCTTGTGTTGTTTGCCAGTCTCAGTGCTGGAGATTACCAGCACCTGAGATCTGTCAGCAGAGCAGCTCCCATGCTAACCCCAGCAAGAACAGGCCACAGTGAATAGAGCATTTGTGAGAATTGAAAGTGACCAAACTCATCTGTTTTATGAGAAAACAGTCTCATAGCTGGCTCTGTGTTGAATCTGACAAGCAGGTAGATTCTGTAGATAGAAGTGGCATCTTACTGTACCAGCACAGCTGGATATGGAAGACAATGCTGTCCACACTCACGACTACACTTGACCTTCACCTCAACATAGTGCTCCCATACTGTGGAAGGGCAGATAATCACTCTGCCATTCTCCAGAAGAAATATTAACAAT